AGGTATTTAGCAACCCATGAAATAACAGTATAATCCTGGAAAGCACTAATCTGAGTAAAATAGTGAGCATTAAACATTAAAAGGAAGCAAGATGAAATAAAACAAGGTCCGTAGCTTATTCTAGACATGAGATCAAAATTTCTGGCCATGTTAACAGTTTTGAAAAAAATGACAGTGATCATTAGAAGTCTAAAAATGTTAGGTTGTTATCTTCTCATCTGTTCCTGGATCGTAAACTCACCTTGTTACCTGTGGTGTTAGGTACAGCCATAAACATATGAGTATTCAAAATTCTGGGCAACAGACACAGGTAAAAATATTTTTCTTTAAAAATACCTATTCCAAATGAATTATATGATTGTTTACTAGAGAACTAAAATTGATACCTATGGTCAAGAACTTCACTTGATTAATTCATCAGTTCATTCCATATTTATATAATATGCCTGTCAGGGGTCACTATGCTAGACACAAAAGGTATAAATGTGAGAAGATACAATAATTACTGAAGAACTTGTTTCTGGGGGAAGAAAAGATATGTCAATGTATACAAATGCAATGTGAAAATGACTATAAAAAGATTATGCACAGGGTGTTCTCTAATTTATTTTCTTACTTATTAGTAAATATGAGTTAAGATGAGATTTGGAAAGTTCATGAAAAGTGAAATATATTATTTCATATAAGTTCAGTGGTTAGATATGCTGTGTTGTCCAAATACAGTGGCCATTGGGCAAATGTGGCTACTTAAATTAATCAAGTAAAATGAAACATAGTTTAAAATTTAATTCCTCAGGTGTATGAACCACATTTCACACATTCAGTACTTCATATTTATCAACTCAAAAATTTTATTATTTGTATTTAAATGATCTATTTCCACAGAGACATTGATCTACTTGGAAAACAGTTGTGTTTCAAATTAAAATTGTAAAAACATTAAGCTATGTATCAAAGGCAACTTTCTGGTTGTCAAGTAGAGTGTTGTGTACTATTTCCTAATAAAGTCATACCAAATGAGTACATTTATGCTCAGTAGTGATTTGTCCATCATTGTACTCATAATACTTATCAAAGTGCCTGATACAAAGTGAACTGTAAATTTTTTATTGAATGCTAAATAAATAAATTGAATTAAATAAATGAAATTGTTTTTTTCTTCTTTGAAAGCAGTCAAATGAACAGAAGCGGGAGTCACCTAATGATAAAGGTATCACTTATGCCACTTGCTATCTTTCCGTCCAACATTTCCAGGGAAGGAATAGAATATTTGGAATATAAAATTTAAAAAAACCCATAAAGATTGAATGGGTCTTAAAGACAGTGAAGTTCAACTTTCTCCCTCCCTCCCATCTCCCTTTCCTTCCTTTCTTCCTCTCTGTTTCCCTCCCTCCCTCCCTTCCTTCTTTCCTTTCTTCCTTCCTTCCTGGTGGACAAAAATATAGGCAGATTCACACAGCTCTTTATAGCAGACCAGGACTAGAACACAGGTCTTATGTGAGAAGAAATAAAGTGTCATTCCTTTTATTGACAGTAATTCAACATAAAAACACTATTTTAAGTTATGACAATAAAGCTCTTGTATCTTAAGAGTTCATTATATTACTACAGGGATTAAGATTTAAGAAATAATTGAGTGGATGAATGAAATAACTTATTCCACTAAATTTTGTGGAGAAATTCAGGGTCATAATTATGGCAGCTACTTGTAATAAGAAAAATGTGTTGATAAGCAGTTTATGGTAACAGTAAAAGATTAAAGTATCAAAATATTTTATATTATTTTATTTCATTACACTTGGGTTTGTACATTAAAAATATTCTGACTTTTAATGTTGTGTATTCTTTTTTCTTCATGACATGAAAATATGGATTACTCTTAGCCAATTGTGTTTATGATGGAAGTTAATCCTATGTTCATAATTGAGGTTATACATCAGTTAATGATAATGGTATATAATTCAGCATAGTATCTAAGAGGGAATAAATTGAACCTGTTATTCTAAACTTGTAAAATGAACACAACAATTTTAAAAAGAGAAAAATTATTTTTATCTTTTATAAGTATCTCATTAAACCCCAGAATATTAGAAAGCATGGTGGTTTGATGGCCGGGTGAACCATCTGAGCATCAAGAAATGGCCATTTTCCTAACATGTTATTTTTCATTCATGCAATTACCCCTAGAAATAAAAGTGTTTATTTTAAGGTTGGATTGGGTTAGTGTAACAGAAGGCAATACAAAGGACTTGTTAGTCATCCTGAAGCAATTATTGGAGAAACCAAAGAAATTCTAGATTGACTTACATTAGTCAGTTAGAAGCAAAACAGTTACATTCTAGGGTGATAACAAGGAAAAAATATGCTTTGTGTAGCAAGTCAGTAAGTGATTGAAGTTTACAAGATGTCGTATTAGAAGAAATAGTGCTTGTACCATGATGGGCTTAAAACTTTAAAGGTGGGAATTTAACCAAAAGAAAGAGTCTTTAAATACTATGTGCAGTATGTCTGTTTATACTAGAGAGAAGCCAGGGTGAGAGGTAATGGGAAGTGGCTCAGGGTTTAAGTGTCTCACTTGCTATGCAGGAGTGAGGACCCTAAAAGTATAAACCGGCACAAAAGCAACACATCACGTTTAATCCCCATTTAGTGAGGAGTCTGATGCGCAGATGCCTGCACTCTCTCCTTGATAGAGATTGGTTTACACAAGAGCAGAGGAAAAGAGGGAGATGGCAGTCCCACTAGTATTTCTATGAAACCTAAGAGGCAGATGTTACAAAATAAGGATCTTCTACCTAAAGTGGCAAACTGAACTATATTGTAATGAACCACAGGAATAAACATTTCATCTACATCCCAGTGCATAATTCTTGACATCATGATTTAATTCTTAAAATCATTTTAAGTTAATTTACTGAAGTGTAATTGTTTTGCATTTGATACTCATATTTTACAATTGATGAACCTACACTGACACATCATAGTCACACAAAATCCCTAGGTTACATTAGGATTTCCTCATGGTGTTGTACATTCTGTGGTTTTGGACAAATGTATAATAAGGACTTTTAATCATAATTATAGTATTATGCAGAGCAGTTTCACTGCCCTAAAAATCCTTTATTCTCCACCTATTCACCCCCCCCCTTCCTCTTTACCCCTGAAAGTCACTGATTCTTCCACTATCTTCATAGTTTTGCTTTTTCAAGAATGTCATGTAGTTGGAATCACATAGTATGAAGCATTTTAAAACATGCTTCTTTCACTTAATAATTTGTGTTTAAGGTTCCTTTATATCTTTTCATGGCTTGATAGTCCTTATTATTTAGCTTTGAATAGTAATCCACTGTCTGAATATACCACAGTTTAATTATCCATTCACCTATTGAAAAGCATCTTGGTTGTTTCCAAGGTTTGGGAATTATGAATAAAGCTGCGTCATAGTGTTCAAACACTTTGTGTGCAGGTTTTTGTGTTGATATACGTTTTCAGCTTCTTTGGGTAAATGCCAAGGAGAGTGATTGCTGGATCATATGCTAGTCATATATTCAGTTTTATAAGAACATGTAAAGTTGGCTGTACCTCTTTGCATTCCCACCAACAATAAATGAGAGTTCCTGTTACTCCACATCCTTACCATCATTTGGTGTTGTCAACAATCTGATCTATGGCCATTCTAATAAACATCTGGTCGTATCTCACTGTTTTAATTTGTGTTTTCAAATTTTAGTGTCTTCTTCTTAAGGATTTTTCCAAAAGTTAGAAATAAACAGAGTAATGTATCTGTAAACTGTAAAACATTCTCTACTATGCTTTGGATTGTTAGTTATTGGAAAGTAATGTTGTAAAATGTAAGCAGGTTCCTATACTTCCAAGTGTGAATTAGAGTATGCTCTGCTCACATATAAAATATATTCATAATATAAATTTTCTGAGCTTGTCTCTGAAAATCAAATTTACCATGTATCCAATATGAGTAATGTGCTAAGAGCACAGTTGATGAGACATCTTATATGACATACTGTTCCCACCTGATTAAAATGTGAATTTTAATTAGGTAAATTCCTTTAATGAATTTTCATATCTGAGTATAGAAAATTATGCTTTGGACTTTTGAAGGTAATTATATCTTCAAAAGATTTGTCTTGCTTGTTTATTGTTTTACTCATTTCAAAGACAGAATTTTATTCAAGGATGTTCTTAAAATGTTGCCTGTTCCAATTTTTATTCTAGCTTCCTGTCTTCTCATACATCTTACACTTTAAGGAAAAAGGACCACAGACAAAACTGCACAGGTGATTCCCTGATGTTTATTTTGAAATATAACATGTTGTCATTATTCTAGTCACTAAAAAAAACAGAATTGAAAAAAGTAGGAACTCCTTAAGTTATGTCTCCAACTTAAAAATCAAAGTACTTTGTAGAAAAATATATGAATTGTCAATAATTTAATGTTAGTTATCAACCTTGTTTCTCCAACACATGGGTCTTATAATATCATTTATTAACTGTTAGAGCCTATAGCTAAAGACAAAGTGAAAGGTTGCCATCAAACAGAAGCTTATTAGCAAATTCATTGTCATTGTTAGTATCCTTCAATTACTCATTTAAAGTCTTATGTTTCAAACTCAAAGCCATGGCTCGATATAATTTATTTTTAGATGTTCCAAAACATTAAATCATTTGCATTTGAAGTAAAAGACTTATTTATTTTATGGTACCTGAAATATCATTACAGAATTTTCTAAAGAATTATTTCTCTTAATTTCAACTATGTAACCAAACATAGTTTGTTTACAAGTAACCTTATGAATTTAAAGCTTATTTAATAGAAAATTTCTCCCAGAGTCAAAATAAAAAAGTATTGACAGTACACACTGACTATTTTCTGTTTTTTAGTCATGTTAAGAATTAAAATATTTTGCTAAATCACAAGTATACAAGGCCATTTCAGGTTGAAATTAGAGTTTTACTTATGTAGAGGTGGAATTGCGACTTACCCCTGTCTGTGTCATACAGGAAGACAAAACAGTTCCATTCATAGTGATCCAGCAGACTCAAGAGCGCTCCTCTCAAGGAGGGCCTTAGCTGCAACACGAACTGGCTCTCCCCCTCCGTAGGGAAACTTGGAGTGATGAGGGAGATGTGTAAGGCGCTGCAGAATGAGGTCAAGGTATGTACTGACCTCTTATCATAGAGTCCAAAAATGGCAAATACTCCTCTAGAGTACTGGGAACAGACTGAAATGAAAGAAAGAAAAAAACATTAACACACTAAAAAATTGTTAACTGCCACACCTACAGCCTGTGAAATAAAAAGGTATCTCTGAATAATGGTATGTCAAGAATATAAGAAAAGAGTAAAAGTCAAGTGTACAATTAATTGGGGTAACTTGAGGCCAAATGCTTCCTTTCTCAAGAAGCCAATTTAAATTAAAGTGAAATAAGTAATATATGGTGTTCTGTGGTAATGTGGCAAATTTTATGTGAGAGACCTTTTAAGTGTGACAAGTTCAATTTTTTCTCTGTATCTTTTTCTTACATGTAAAAATGTAGTATTTTACTTTGAAAAAATTTAAGTATATTTAGAAGAACATTTAAATTACCAACATGCCATTTTTTGGAAGCTATAAATTTATCTTCTCTGGTTTGAAATGGACCGCATTTGCTTGCTACTCAGCATAAATTATTTTTTCCCAGTTGCAGTTTTTTTTTTCACATTTTTAAATTGTTGTTCAAGTACAGTTGCCTCTACTTTCCCCCCACCGTGCACCCCCACCCCAGCCACCCCCACTTCCCATCCTTGATCCTACCCGGCTTTGGTTTTGTCCATGTGTCCTTTATACGTGTTCCTGAAAACCCTTTAGTTTCTTTTTTTATCACAACCTTAGAGTTCTCTTGAATCATTTTTGAAAATAAAAATTATGCTGTCCAGAAAATCTTTATTGGAATATCCTAGATGCTTAATGAAATTGCGGCCAACTTGTACAGCCTCTAGGTAGGCCATAAAGTGAAACTTTCAAACCCCATTGAACCAAGTTCTCCTGAAGTAAGAGAACCCAAGGTAAACAGGTGACCAGTTTCATCTTGCCTTTCTTTTCCACCCTCCAATTTGTTGTTGCAAGGACAACAGGCAAATTCATAGGGAAAAAGTGCTTGTCAACATTCTTGCCCAGTCATATTTTGATCACTCTTTTGATATGACTGATTTCTAGTTCAAATTTGGGTGACTTTTTCTAGTTTACATTTTAAAGGATACAAACCTGAATTAGGGGATACTCTTTTACTGTTTACACATAAATTAAGACTCTTTGTATTCCAAATTCTTGTAGTTTATCACTTGGCTAAAGGTCTTATTTCTCCTTGGCCTCTATAGCTAGTTTAAGAAGTTGTTAGTTTTATAAAATGTTTATGTTTTCTGATTTTGGTTATTGATTGTAATTGCTAAATTCATGAAGAAGCCTAGAATATTGGATAAACTACAGGTATATATTTTAAGAGTAATTTATAGTGATACAAAGAAATTAGATTTTCCTTTGTTACAGTAATAAGAGGTTTTAGGAAAATATGAAGCATAATTAAATAAGAAATTAATAAAACCTGGAGGTGTTTCTTTTGTTCTTATTTATTGTGTCTCTTGAAATTGGGGATAGAGTCTAAGCAATGTAATTAGAACATTAGAGGTTAACAAAGAACAGAAAACAAGTGTATTATTGTTGGTCTTCATTAGACGATGTGCTCGAAGAGATATTGTATATGTTCTATGCTCACCCAGGAACTAGGATTTGATCACCTGAGTGTATTGACCAACCTGGGAAATTTAATCAGGCAGTATGAGTGGCTATAATTTCCTTGCAAGATATAAGAGATATTATAGTGTAACATTTGGGAATCTTAGGTTTCAAGTGACTTTAGTTTTGTACCTTAAATAACCTGATAAATCAAGCTGCTGGATGGGACCTTACCCTTGTGAGTGTTTTATCAAGAATTTGGATGCATTTCTGTAAGTGCCACACATTTATCAAAATTAAAGGTGCCCCTCTTTGTTGTCATATTTCTTGTTCTTTTGATTTTCATGCAAATTGAGGGGCCACTTTCAACCTTTACATTGTAAATAATCTTTACAATGTTTCACTGTAAATGTTTCAATTAAATGTTATTTTACTTTACTAAAAAAATAAAGTGGAAGAATTTAAATTTTATCTAAGATGCCCACTTTCTATTTGGTGCAGATACTACACACAGATTTTAGTATTTTTCAAGTACAAGTAAGCAAACAGGATTTTTAAGTCAGTTAATTTTTTCATGCATATAATGAACTTTTACAATCCTTTCTGTTATGGGGCTTACCATTTTCAAATTTTGGTGTTCAAATAGTGAGTTTTTAGGAACCCTCAAATTCTCTATGAGGACTTGCATAGCTTTGCATGAGAACCTTGGTGAGGCAGGACTGGGTGGGCAACTGTGGACCCCTTCACTCAGTATGTCTCTCTCCCCAAAACCCCAACAGTGCTTCTGATTTCATCAGTTTCAAATATTGAGCCAATATAAAACTTGATGTGTAAAAAATATTGCACTTCTAATAAAAGGTCAGAAATAACTGATATGCCTTATACAAAGTTCTCTACTGTTTGTTCCTACTGTAGTGTTTTCAGATATCATTATGACTTTCTACTACTTTGGTGCTTGCTATACTATTTAACTGATTTTTAATTTATTATATTTGATACTGAACCAACTTAATTTTTGATGATATTTAATCATCTTTCATTCATGAGCATAACCATAGATATGAATCTCTTCTCTTTTTATAGCTGCTATTTTGCCTTTAATAAACTAATTTTGAAACTGTAGTGTAAGTATTAGATTAATAACTTTGCTTTGGCTATCCTATGTCACTCACAATTTAGTTGCCCTTTGCAAATGATGAGTTTTAATATTATCCTTTTGAACTATTTTTGGCCTATTTAATCTAGATTATATGCTTGACACATGAGAATTATTGAATTTCCTATGTGTGTAAATAGGTTGTCAGTCAAATATCCAATGTTATCTCAATGTGATACCCTGGACAGTATCTTCTTTAGTGCAATAGGTTACATTTTGAAATATAATTATTTCCATATTTGGTATTATAATCTAGATTTGAAAATACTCAACTCAAAATTTGCTTGATTATATCTTACGCATTTACTGGTTTTATCATACAAATAGTTATTCAAACAATGCAACTTAAACTATATAAATGTATACATAAATTAATTAGAATAAGCTAAATTGAATATCAGTGTGTTCAGAGTACAAAAAGGGAATAAACTGAATCTTAGCTGAACAAAATAAACAAGAATTAATGCTTGGTCACCAAATAGATGTAATAATATCAGATAGATACATATTTTGGGATATGGGATATAAACACTAATCAAGATAAAACTTTCAGTGAAATAATCCAACCATGATTTTAATTGCATATTCTATATTCTACTTTACTAACAAGATCACTTGGACCCTGTATAATGCAACTAAACCCATGATAAAATCATGGTAATAATCTTTTACTTGGTGGTGTCATATAATTAAATGTCTTCTCATCAAGCAGTCACCCAGTTTCATTCCATATTCTATATTTCAGATGCCAAACCAAGTGAAATTATTGTCTAGTTTATGATACTTTATAGCTCCATAGCACACACAAATCAAGTGACATGGTCTTAGCTGAGTTTCTCAAGTTGTGGGACAGGAGAGCAAGGTGTGGACCTGACAGCAATCGCCACTGCAGCGTGGGCAGAAGGAACAGGCCACTGTTTATCTGTCACCCTTTCCTTCTCCCTACACTTCAATGTCCCTCTTCTCTAAATGCTTCTCAAAATACTTTAAACAAGCTTAACTGTTTTTCATTTTATAAAACATAGAACTTTCTTGATCCAATGCTTCCTATCTCTTTCTACCCACTCTCAGTCACTTTTACTAAAGGCATTTTTTACTTACTCTGTTCCCAATTCATCTGATTCCTATACTCCCCAGCCACCAAAACCACTCATCAATTTTGCTAATGACCAACTGCATCCTAAATTTTTCATTTTAGCTCCTGTCTTACTGTAATCCTTTGATGTCTTTGAAACTTTGAACATGTCTCTCAAATACTTCCTTCCCTTGCTTTATTAACACCACATTCTAGTCTTCTTCCATTCTCTCAAAATGTTTGTGTCTTTGAACTGCTCTTTCCCTCTGCTCCTTTATAGTTGGTAAACCTTAAAATTCTCCTTTTACTTTCAATACAGTTCCACTGAAAATGGCCAGTCCTGGGGCTTTAATTACCACCCATGTAATCATGAACCCTCAAATTGTACCATTTACTTCAAATCTTTCTCTTGAACCCCAGATCTACATCCCTAACTTCATCACTTCCATGCCACCACGGATTTTCTAAAATGGTTATAGCTTAGTTCCTATCTCACTTCATATTCCAGAACTCTGATACTCTCTTATTCAAAACTGGAGTCTGATCTTTCAACTTGAACCTGAGCTGGCTTCAGTAACTGCCTTAGCTAATAAAGTATGACGAAGTGATTATAAGTGACTCCTGAGACTATGGCTACTTCTCTCTGGAAACACATTTTTTTTAAAACTCAGCCACCATGCTGTGAGGAAGACCACATGACATGAAGAGGCCCACATAGAAAGGAACCACTATTCTTGTCCCTCAGCACCAACCAAGTTCCAGGCTGACAGTCAAAATGAACTTCACGGTTCATAAAGGAATCACCTTGGATACGGATATTTGAGCCCTCAGTTACATTACCCTAGCTGATGCTGTATGGGATGGAGAATAAGCTTTGCCCCAAATGAAAAAGCATAAGAAAAATAAATCACTATAATTTTAAGTCTCTAAGCTTGAGATAATTTGTTGTATAGTAGGAAATAAATGAAACAATCTTTGCATCCAGTACTTAGGGGTATGCCTACATGTGATAAGTATTCAATAAATATTTTATAAAGAAAGTTTTAAGAAATGTTTTTGATATTTGTGTCAATGTTTATTTTTAGAAATCTTAATATTGAATATTTGGATCTTGTGCTATTGTGACTGTTTCCATGACAACAATCTTTGATTATTCATTAAGGTAAACTGCTAGAAGTGAAATTATGAAGTAAGGTATATGAATCTTTTTGAAGGATTTTGGTAAATATCACTAAATTTCTTTTCACAACTATGTATTAATTTATAGCTCTCTTAATAG